CAGCCTTCTCCTTGCTGTTGTCGCCTACTCTCAGCCGGTGCTGATGCCGACCGCTGCAAACATTCGTCGACCTTTGTTGGAACTTTGGTACCGATAGACCATTCTCCCTTGGTTGATTCGGAACGAGGAGAGGGGATTGTGTATTTCCGGGATTTCTTGTCATCATGTCGTCGAGCTACGACGACGCCATGCTCGGCGAACATAGCCATGGCGACCACTCTCACCAATACCATGCTCAGGACATGCCCCCGCAGGCTGATTCGAACTGGCAGCAGAACGGCAACTTCAGAACCCGGACCCCTGACAGTAGCTATCGACCGCGGCCTCCCGTTTCGGCTCCAGGTACGCCCAATCCACCGGGATGGGCTGAAGACCAGCCGCCCCGCAAAAGCGCTGAGCGGAACAGGTCGCGAGGGCGAAATGGAAGGTCTGCCAGCGGCCAAACGAGGACATGCCAGGCGTGCGGTGAGCCCTTGACGGGCCAGTTTGTGCGTGCTCTTGATGGAACATTCCATCTCGACTGTTTTAAGTGTCAGGTACGGATCTCAGGCTGACCCCGTCCTCTCTCGGACGGCAGTAGATGCTAATTGCTCAAATTATAGGACTGCGGTGAAATAGTTGCTTCAAAGTTCTTCCCGGCCGAGGACGAGAACGGCCAAGGCCAGTATCCTCTTTGCGAGACTGACTACTTTCGACGACTTGGCCTCCTCTGCTACCAGTGCGGGGGAGCGCTTCGTGGCTCTTACATCACCGCCCTAGACCGCAAGTACCATGTCGATCATTTTACATGCTCATTGTGTTCAACGATATTCGGCGCTCAGGATAGCTACTACGAACATGACGGAAACGTTTACTGCCATTACCATTATTCGACACAGTTCGCCCAGCGGTGTAATGGGTGCCAAACAGCCATTTTAAAACAATTTGTTGAGATTTTCAGAAACGGACAAAACCAGCATTGGCATCCTGAATGTTACATGATTCACAAATTCTGGAATGTGCGGCTGGCACAGCCCGCGGACTCGTTACCTGCGCTTGAGAGCACAGACGACGCCGCGGGCAGAGACCTTATTCGTGAGGAGGAAGAGCGTATGGAAGAGAAGGTCTTTCGTATATGGAGCGTTCTATCAACGTTTGAGGAATCGTCCGCTGCGTGTATCTCTGACATGCTGCTACACGTCAGCAATGGCTCATATGTGGAGGGAGTTTTTGTTGCCAAACGATTCATCTATCACGTTGAGATTCTATTCCAATCTGCAGATAGACTCGATGCAACTATGGTGGGGCTGGATCAAAAAGGTAAAGACACTTTAACTTTGCCATTGTCTTGTATAAAATCTAACTCTATGTTCAGGCATGTCCTACGGGCGAGAAGCCAAATTACTTTGCAAGAAGATTGTTTCCTTCTTTTCGCTGCTTTCAAAAACGCAAGACAACGCAACACACAAGATCGGGGTTACACAGGAACTCCTTTCCCTTGTTACCGGTCTCGCCCATTACCTGAAGCTCCTCATTCGAATCTGTCTTCAGGGTGCACTGCGTCTCGAGCGTGAAGCAACTTCTTCGACTGGCTTGTATCAGTTTCTGGACGATTTAAGCGACCTCGACGCCACTAAGAACGACGACGGCCAGTTGTCTGTGACTGCAACCGGCGGAAAGCTTTCTGCCAACGACTCTGACCACTGCGCTCTGTGTCATAGATCAGTTGAAGACGAGTGCGCTAAGAACGCCGATATGAGGTGGCATCTTAATTGCGTTCGATGCACAAAGTGTTCGCGCGATATCGGGCGAACACTGGTGGATGCCCGTCTCAACACTCTCGATCGAAAGCTCTACTGCACAAACTGTGCTGGACCCAATGCGCAATCACTTGAGCATGTCTCAAAACTACAACAATACGTGTTTCTGCTTCGCGTTGCCCTGGCTCGGTTGTTGGATATTCTCAAGGCCAACGGCACACTTCCACGTTCGAACGACGACTCCGATAATAACGGATTTGGGGCCGCTGATGGACCAGGAGGTGATCCCAGATCACGCGGAGGAGACCAGTCGCGCGGGCCTGGTGGCAGCAAACGAGAGTCGTCTTATGAGAACACTCTGAATGATGTGCGCAGACTCAGAAGTACACGATTGGACCGTCACCTCTCTTCTAGTGTTCGACAGGCTCGGAGCTCTCGTGTGATGGAAACAGATGGACGGGGACCACGCCCAGGCTCAGCGGGTGATGCCAGCCAAGGTGGCCAAAACTCTACTGATCTCATGTTTGGACAAAACGACGGTATTACGTTGGATGATATTCCAAGAATTGTGGCTGTAGAACAGTCTCGCGAACAACAACAGAGGGCACCGCAGCCTTTTCAAGACCGTTCACTAGATGCTCCATCTGCACAGGGTCATCAGCGATCGCAATCCAATGACCGGGAACGCTCTGATATGATGCCTCGGCAGATCGGACGAAAATTCTTTTCAGAGCTCTCAGGTCTCGAATACTTCAATGTCCGACATCTCGCCGTTCTGACCATGCAACCCATGATTGAGCAAGAATTCACCCTGGACGAACTACTTAGCTTCATTGAGTCACGCAAACAGGCAACTTTCTGGAAGAATATTGGAAAGGCCTTCAAGAACGACAAGAATAAGAGCGTCAAGAAGAAGGGCGTATTTGGTGTACCCTTGGAGATTATCATTGAAAGAGATGGTGCGGACTCGACAGATGGCGTTGGCCCGGGTACTCTTCGAATCCCAGCAGTAGTTGATGACATTGTCACGTCAATGCGCAAGATGGACCTTTCCGTCGAGGGTGTGTTCCGAAAGAACGGCAACATAAAGAAGCTGCAAGGCCTGGTAGAAACCATCAACACCGAGGGCTGCGACATGGTTGGCTTTATGGAACAACCCGTTGTCCAGCTAGCCGCTCTTCTTAAGCGCTACTTGAGAGATCTGCCCGATCCTTTAATGACCCATAAGTTATATAGACTATGGATTAGCGCAGCCAAAATCTCCGACCACGAGAAGAGGAAGCAATGTCTGCACTTGACCTGCTGTCTTCTACCAAAGAGTCACCGAGACTGTCTGGAAATTCTGTTCAGTTTCCTGAAGTGGGCTGGCACGTTCCATCAGCTGGACGAGGATCTTGGCTCCAAGATGGACACGCGAAACCTTGCCACTGTAATTGCCCCTAACATTCTTACAAACCCGACGAAAACTATGGCCATGGATAGCGAGGCCATGTATATCATTGATGCGGTGGAAATGATGATTACAAACATCGAGGAAATGTGCCAGGTAAGAAGCGGAACTATTGGCGATTAGCTTGACCCCATCAACTGACTTTAACAGGTTCCTGATGAAATTCTTGGTCTCATGAACGACCCTTACATCTTCAGCAACAGTGGAGATCTTACCACAAAGGATATTCTGAAGCGTTTTCAGGATAGGCGGGGACAGATTTCAATTGCTGATGTGAACGAGGTTTACAACCGTCAGGACAATTCCACCCGACCTCCAGCTCGGCGAGTAGAAACTGACCCCGCAGTATGGCAGGGTGAAACCACCGTTCGCACCATACAAGATCCTTCGATGCCTATACCCAATAATGGGCATGCAACTCCGCCGGCTCGGTTCAGAGGACGGAACGATCTGAATCCCTCGCCTTATGGTCACAACCAGTTCAATCAGTCAGACAGTCAACTCGATAGCGCCGAGCATAGCAGGAGGCGCGAATGGCGCAATTCTGGCATAGGAGGACGTCAAGGCAGCGGGCTTGGTGTATCCGGCAACTCATGATACTTTTCTCCATTGATGTTCTTGATTATAGCAGGGCTAGACAACGCCCGGTATCAGACCTCGTTTCGGTTCTTACGTGCAGTTCAGGGCGCATGATTTGGGTGTAGAAAAATATTTGCATAGTCGACGGCGCCCCCCTCTTTGCGTCTTTCATAAACCCAGGCTGTGCTATATCACGCACGTACGCGACTCGAGAGGGAAAAAAACAAGGAGGAAGGGCACTTGACCACGAGAAACCCGTGGCATTCATTTCTTCTTTATATTACGCTGCATTATACAGCACGACACGACAAAACTGGTAGTTTTTCTTACTCTACTGGAGAGATGAAGAAGCTCTCTCTTCCGGTAATATTCTCTTCTAACCGCCCGACATTTTTTTATTACATTTCTACCTCATATCACTTAAGTGGCGCGAGAAAGATTTGCACGCTGGTCCTCCACTTTTTGGTTCAGTGTTTATTTCTTGGGGAAGGGACGGACTTGTTGGTCTATACCTTTTTCTTACGAAAACAAAAAAGGGTTTCAAGAAAGGGTTAATTTTTTTATTTTTTTCAAGTTTCTCTGCTTGCTTGCTTTCTATTCTCTTCTATACCTAAGTTGGATGGAGTAAGCCATATGAGCGGGTTGATTCCGTTTGGTATGGCAAGACGAGACAATATGAGGCGGAGCTGAGGATGCGGATGGGTTGTTCATATTTACACCTCACGAAAAAGGTGCGTGGATGCTGGGGTCAGATGTGAGGATGTAAACATGGATGGGATACTGGTCACAGATCCAAGTGACGGCAAGATAGGAACAATAGATTCCGTTCCAATTGGGTACTCATGACTTGATGATTAGAATTTTGCTACCAACATCCTTTCGTCGTTCCTTTAGTGCTTGTGAGTTGAATGTAAGATCAAAGTGTTGTGGACAACTCGGCTTGCCTGTCCACAATAGGGGCTCAAGCGGATCTCACCACTATCTGCAGCCACAATCGTACGAGAGATAATTGATTATTTTAAAGTACTGAGATCGGATTCTTGGGAGATATAAACTGCCAACGAACTTTGATATGAAGCATTATCAACTGCAATTACATAACTTGCCTATTAAATATATAGACTAAAAATAAATGGTAATGGCCAAATATGAAATTTTTATCTCATCTGCCCTTCTTATTTCATCAAAGAAAAATACCCCTCTCTCGCTCATTTCGCTCGTTATTGGACTTTTTATGCCTTGACCGGGGCCGCGGCAGCCTTGTCTTGCTCAAGGAACCAGTTCACGCCGCGATCGATGCCCTCCTTCAGAGTCCAGAGAGGCTGGTAGCGCAGTGCCCGCTTGGCCTTGTTGATGTTGTAGTAGCGAGTCATGCAGCTCATGATGATGGCCTTGCGAGTAAGAGTAGGTGTCTTGCCAAGAATGCTGGCAATCACCTCGCTGATATAGCCGAAGGCAATACCAAGCTCACGATTGAGGTACCAGTTAGGCTCAGTTCCCTTGTCGTAGCCCGCGGCGTGCCAGATGGTGCGGGCAAAGTCCCAGAAGTAAACAGGAGTGTCGTTTGTAATAAAGAAGGCCTCACCATCGACACGCTCGTGGTCGAGGGGAACGGTAGAAGAAGCGGCGGTGGCGAGGAGGAGCTGCGCGGCGAGAAGATGGGCGTGGGCGACGTTGCCGACATAGGTGAAGTCGAAGAGGTTCTCGTTGGTACCAACTTGGATTGTGTGCTTGCCACGCTTGTAGGCATTGAGGATGCCTGCGAGGGTCTGGACGTCACCCTCGCCAAAGATGCCAGCTGGGCGAATGGAGGTTGTAAGGAGCTTGGAGTCATCCTGGCGGTTGGCCTTGATAACGATTTCCTCTGCTTGAGCCTATGATTATCATTTTGTCAGTCAATCTGTATCAAGCGGTGGTGATATAGAGTGAGCATACCTTGGTTTCGGAGTAGTACTCGGTCTGCTGGTCGCCGCGAATTAGAGGCCATCGCTCGTCGGCATTCAGCAAATCCGTGACATTATCGCTGATGACGCTAGCAGAGCTGGTGTAGACGAGAGCCTTGACACCTGTCTTCTGGCAGGCGTCAACGACAGCCTGTGTGCCATCGACGTTGACTTTCTTGAATACATCGTTACCGATCTTAGGGTTGACAGCTACTGGCGAGGCTGTGTGGATGACGACGTCGGGCTTGAGCTCCTCGAATAAGGACAGGAGACGCTCAGAGTCGGTGATGTCGCACTCGTGGTACTCGGCGTTGGGGTTACGGTTGCGCTCGCATCGCAGGTCGACACCGATGGTGGCAGTTGTTGTCCAATTCTCGAGGGCCTGGTTGACGATATGATGGCCCAGAAAGCCGTTGCCGCCAATGACAACAACTCTTCCTAGAGGACCTCTGGATGTTGTCTTTTCGGTCATTTTTTATAATGTTGTGTCTCTGTCTGCGTGGGTGGAGGGTACGGTCGCACGAGAAGTCAGGTAAGAGAGAGAGAGAGAGAGAGAGAGATGTTCTTAATGATGGGCGGATAGATTCTGGATCCCTGGGGTACTTTACTATAAGCTAAGGCCAAGTTAAGTTAATTTGGAGATGAGAGTAGGTAGTTGGAGCAGGGGTCCATTTCTCTCTATGGGTGGCTGATTGACCCGTAACCTTAGGCTAATGGAAATATGGTGGGGGTGAGTGCTGTACTGTAGTGGCGTGGGTGCTTAGGTGCAGGTGCCTAGGTACTACAGTAGGTAACCAATCAGTGAATCAGCACCTTGAAACTTTAGCAGCTTCTACTTCCTCTTTGTTGAACTTGCACGCCGTGAATAAACATCGTGTGCTGTGAAATTTTGTTTGTCCTACACAAATAATGTCTTTTTTGCTTTAACGGGTTTGAATAAATCAAATTCTCTTCTCTTGTTACTCTCTTTGCTTTATTCATTCATATAATACCACCCATACCATCCTTGTTCCCCCCCTGGCTCGTGCCCTCTCTCTTTTAATATTTCTGATCGCTTTGGATATAAACAACCTATCGCCCTCTACTATATTATACCCATTACCTCCTGGGTACAATAACTTTTATTCGCTCGATGAGATAGTGTCTGTCGACGAGTATCAGCCGACATGCTTTATTGGCATTCAAAACATGGCAAGAAACAGCTCGAACAATACAGAAATACTTGTGCATATCACAGCACCAAGTCGGTCAGCCGACGATGCACTTTATCGTCAACTTGCGCAGGCCTATCTCGTATTTGAGCCTCAGAAACAGATACAGGTTCCTTTAGTATCGCCACAGACAAGGAAGGAACCATGCGATGCGACGATAAAGAACGGATGGGCGCCTTCGCCCAGCCAGATCCGAGTAGGAGCCTCATTTGGACAGCCCTTTGAAATCACGTCGCAGGACATGAGCTTCGAAGGAGCTGTGGACAACTGTGCTTCACCGCGTCTCCCTCTTACAACGGCGGCACAGGATATGATCCCTTCCTCGGACGATGCCGGTTTGGGATCACTTAACTCTTGGTGCGCACCCCCGAGTCAGGTCAGCGATTCTTATCCTATGCCAGATGCTGGTTTGTTGGGCGTTTCCCCGTCTCGGATACTTGAACGGTATATTGGGAGAACGCAATCATCGCAGACCTCTCTACCATATTCGTCGCCAACTGCATATAAAAAAAATACCTCTATTCCTCTCTTTGAACAAAGTCTAGGTATACCATCCTCCCTACCCGTAACCAGTCAGGAAGAGTCGCTTCCACTTGAACCGCCAAGGTTCATTGAAGCCGAAGTCGTTATCCCATCGACACAGGAGAATGAAGATGACGATTTTCCCATTCCATCGGCCAACACCGAAATAGTAGCTTTTGAGCATCAGGTGCCAGACATCACACATAATTCAGCAAACACGGTTAGTGACCGCTCGCTAGTTCTCTCCCCTCGTGGAAGGTCAGAGCCTCCTCCTGCGAAACGATGCAGGGTTGGTTACACGGAACACGCCGACCTATTCAGAAGTTCCAGCGATACGGGCCGAGCATTGTCAATGACGAACTCGCAGATAGATCAACTCAATAGCAGCTTGGAAATTCGGCCACCATCCCCGTCTGTTGGAGTCAAAGATGTCAAACCTGCAGATCTGGTACCCGAGAAGTTTGCAAAGCTTGCGCGCGACCTGGGGTCGAGATACCGTCCCATGGTGACACGAGATATCGATCCCTTTGAAAGGGGATTCTGGCTGCTCAACTGCAAAGATTGGAACCCAGCAGCTCGGTTTGATGCTTGGGTTTTCCTCAGTAACTATCTGAAAAGTGGCTTAGCTGGTTGGGGAACTTGGTGTTGTAGAGACACGACTCATGACTGGATTCGATTATATTGTTGGGGCCATGTTGCAAAACACACATACTTGCTTCTATACCTTGCAAGTGGGAGACGGATCAAGACAATTGGTGCTAAATGGTATGGCGCAGATGGGAAGGCAGTTTTGGAAATTCCGCCTCATGACAAGCAGGGATGATTGGGGTCATACAATATCGTATCCCTGCTCCAGGATACCGAGTAGAAGTTGGACAACTTCATTTCAAGCGAGGCGGTGGTCGGATGCTTTGCTTTGAATCATAATCTCCGGGGGGCATCAGACATTTTAGATACACAGTGGCAGAGCTGTATCATTTACATTAGACGAAGAGACATTGTGCGCATAGAGAACCTTGGTTTACTAACTGCTTTGCTTGTTGAGTGGCTGAATGTACATACCCACCAGCAGCTGCGCTGTGTTCGAGGTTTTCCTATCCTTCCGAAGGCCCCATACACCTGGTTCGGTACAAACCCGAAAACAGAAACAAAATCAAAGTACTCTCATATCATGACCCTGGAGTCCAATCCATTGTAGTCAGCCCCACCATAAACCATAACTCAAACCCAGTGGCATGATAAAGCCCAAGTGGAAAATAGTGCTTTATACATAATACTACATCATGTGGGCAGTATCCCATTCAGTTCCTCTAGTTGGGCAAACCGGCCTCCTTGATGGCTTCTGCTCGGGCATCAATCTTGTCCATCTCAGCCTTGAACTTGGCGAAGCCCTCCGCAGCCTTCTCCTCGTATCGAGCCTTCTCAGCTGCGCTGATTTGCTTCCACTCCTCACCAAGCAGCTTGAACACCTCATGGCGGCCGGCGCTGGCAAAGCGCGAGTGGTTCTCTGTCACGAACATGGCATATGAGCCCTTTGGACGCTCGGGCAGGCGTTCATCGATGATGGGCTTCTCAGGCTTGCCAGTCAGGAATGCCAGGCGACGGCGAGACTTGTTGGCTAGGTGAATGCGCGCGGGCTCGTGTGCCTCAACCCAGGCCTTGTAGTTCTCCTGGTTCTTTTCGCGGTTGGCGGCGCCTCTGACGGTGAGGTCCTATATCTCGTGTTAGAGTACATAGAAAAGGAAGAAAAGTGAGATAAGAACATACATCGATCTCGGACTGGCTGAGTTGACGGAACTTCTCTGCCATTGCAGTGGTCTGCTGGGTGATTCCACCAGCACCCAGGTTACTTGCCCTGTTCTCGAATGTGTACAGAATCCATGAAGAAGCTGGCAGCTGAGGAAGCTTCTCTTTGAGAGCCCACTTCTTGACTTCCTTGATCTCAAGTTTCTTGAGCTTCTCAGGGTCGGCCACCTTCTTAGGCTTTTTGGGTTTTTCTTCAGCAGGCTTGGCCTTGGCCCTGGCCTTGGGCTTGTTCTTAGCCTTATCTTTCGACTTTGTTTCAGTGGCCTTGGCCTTGGATTTGGTGGTGGTGGTTGTACCAGCTGCCTTCTTGGTAGTGGTGGTAGTGGTCTTCTTGGTGGGCTTCTTATCACTCGCGGTAGGAGAGGACGACCATGTTGAGACAGTGAAGCTTCGAGCAGGAAGCACGGCCGCAACAGCGTTCTGGCGGGAGAGCAATTGGGCGGAAACAGAAGTGGGAGCAGAAATGCGGGATGTTTGGACGCGACGAGCGGCAGCCCTACCCACGGAAGTGAGCATTGTGATGGTCGAACTTGTTTTTATCTGAAGGGGATTAAGTTTTGCGCAACAGACGCGGCTGCGAATGCAATCGGCGGGCGATTGAAGACAAGGCTGAGTTTTGTGTACGGTGAGGAATTGGTCTAATTTGGTTAATGGTGTTGACCCTCCCTCTAGATCAGGCCGGCAGTGTTTTGCGCATTCTGGGCGGGTAGTTTCAGTGCCGCAAAGGTGGGCGGCGGGCGGGCAGGTGGGCTCAACTTCATGCGACCTGGACCTAACTAAGAGCTCGACTGAAGATACCTTTGGGCTACACCAATTGTGGCTGAACCATGAGGTATTCTGTGCCTGGTGAGCTACAGCTCTTACAGCTAGAGCATCAGCCCAATCATGGTCGAGGATCCGGATTATGTAATACTTCAGCACCTTCGTGCCTCCACCTCATCCGCTACTCACAGGCTGCCGTTGGACGCGACAGTGAGATCAAGCAAGGCTGGGCTAAATGGTAGCTCTCTCTCAACTTCATCATCACCATCAACCCCCCGACGACGACGGATTTTTAACTCCATCGCCAGCGATACTTTTCACCACTACAGAAGTCATTGATCTCATCCATTACACTCCACCTCCCCTACACAAACCATGGATCACCGTCCACAAGCTTGGGGCCGTGTACGTCCACCTATACAGGTCCCTTGACCCCATCAATTACAGCGAAGCTGACTCCAAATAGCCCAGAGACGATGTTTACGGCGCCTATGATGCCTCATTCATGAACGATAATGGCCCCAAGCAAAACACCCAGCAGCCCATCGTTACTGGTACCTCCGTCATCGCCGTCAAGTTCAAGGATGGTGTTGTCATTGCTGCTGATAACCTGGGTCCGTCCTATTTACCCATCAATGCTATATACAGCACAAGACTAACTATTCATAGCTTCATATGGCTCTCTCGCTCGTTTTACAGATGTCAAGCGACTCCGTCCCTTCGCCAACTCATCGGTTGTAGGCTTCAGCGGCGACATCTCCGACATGCAGTATCTCGACCGCCACCTCATTGAGCTTTCTCTCGACGAGGCTTACACCTCCCCCGATGCCCCGCGTCTCAACGCCGCAAACCTCCATCGCTATCTCGCCAAGCTTCTCTACCGCCGCCGTTCCAAATTCGACCCCTTGTGGAACCATCTCCTTGTTGCTGGTCTCGACGATGACGACAAGCCCTTCCTCGCTGCCGCCGACCTCCTCGGCAGCACCTACAGTGCCCCCAGTCTGGCCACCGGTTTTGGTTCCATGCTGGCCCAGCCTATCATGCGTCGCCATGTCCCCGATGAGGAGGCCTCGCAAAACCTTGACAAGGAGGGCGCTATCAACATTATCAAGGAGTGTATGAAGGTCCTATACTACCGTGACGCTCGCAGTCTGGATTCCTACTCAATGGCTGTTGTTACCAAGGAGGGTGTGGAAATCAACGAAGGTCTGCAGTTGGAAGCTCAGAGCTGGGCTTTCGCAGAGAGGATCCGGGGATACGGCACCCAAACTGTCTAAACTATTGGGATTTGTTAATAGCAGGTGCCTTGTGTAGCAAGGACTCGTCGCAAACGTACTTGACTGGAGAGGTTGCACAAGGATTCAAGCAGGAGACTTGATCTCATGTTACATTAGAAAGGCTTCGCCTAAATTACATTCATGATGATGACAATGTGTTCCGCACTTGCATTTGAGTACCATGACCAACAATGCCGATTTGCTTTGACACTGGCGGTGGCAAAGGATTGAGTGTAACAAGGACAGCGCACATGCCTAAACACATTCTTGGACTTATTTTGTGTACTTTGCAAGACTTAAATATTCGTGATTATGTTGCCTGGACTATGTATCGTAAATAAGCCAACTTGCTTATCCAACCTCATATCGAGAGGTATGTCATCTAAACTAAACCAGACCGGCCTGGTTCCCTGGCCTCCCATTTATTCATTTATTTTTGCCAAACATTTGTTCCATGCTATCCAGGTAGACAAAACACAAAAGACTTGACCAATATACTGATTGCAAGCCAGTGCTGTCCAAAACCCAACTCCAAACATCATCATAAACCTCTTGTTGACAAGCAAGAGTAACCCAAGCAACCGCCAAACTCATACTGTACATGACAAGAAGCCAAAACAGTGACAAGCTTACTCGACAGTAACCGACTTGGCCAAGTTACGAGGGAAGTCAACGTTGAGACCCTCGAGAACAGCGAGCCAGTAGGCAATAAGCTGGAGAGGGATGACGTTGAGGAGACCCTGGAGGACGTCGACAGTCTTAGGGATCTCGATCTTCTCGGCCTCGGAAGCCTTGAACTCCTCATCGTCGGGGTTGCAGATGACGATGGGCTTACCACCACGAGCAATAACCTGCTGGTAGGCGTTGAGGGACTTCTTGAAGAGGTCGTCACGGGTGAGGATCATGATGATGGGGAGGTTCTCGTCCACCAGGGCCAGGACACCGTGCTTCAGCTCACCGGACATGACAGCCTCGCAGTGAAGGTAGGAGATTTCCTTGATCTTGAGGGCACCCTCGAGGGCAGTGGAGAACTGGCTACCACGGCCGAGAAGGAGGAGAGACTTCTGGTTCATGAAGTTTTCGCAGAGCTTCTTGATGGAGGAGTCAAGCTCAAGGATGGACTTGATCTGGGCAGAGACGTTGGAGAGTCCCTCCATGATTTCCTCGCGGCGTGCCTTCTTGGAGGCACGGTCCTCACTCAGGGACAGAGCAAACATGACCATGGCAATGAACTGAGAGGTGTAGGCCTTGGTGGAGGCGACACCGATCTCAGGACCAGCGTTGACGTGGACACCACAGTGGGTGAGGAGAGAGATGGAGGAACCGACAACGTTGACGATACCAACGGTCAGGGCACCGCGCTCCAAGCAGTAGCGGAGAGCCATGAGGGAGTCGGCGGTCTCACCAGACTGGGAAACGAAGACACAGGTGTCGTCACGGAAGACAGGGGCCTGTCGGTCAAGGAAATCGGAGGCAAGCTCAACGGCGATGGGGATCTCAGCAAGCTCCTCAAAAATACCACGGACAGCCATGCAAGAGTGGTAAGAGGTACCGCAAGCAATGAAGATGATGCGACGGCATCGGCGGATGGTGGAGATGTAGGAACGGAGACCACCAAGAGTAACTGTCTTGTTGGCAATGTCGAGACGGCCACGCATGGTGTTGACAACGGACTCGGGCTGCTCGAAAATCTCCTTTTGCATGAAGTGGTCAAACTTGCCCTTCATGATCTCCTGGAGCTCAAGCTCGAGGGTCTGGATGGTTCGGACGTTGGAGCTGCCATCGGCCTTCTTGAGGCGGTGGATGTTGAGGGAGCCCTCGTGGATGTGAGCAATGTCATCGTCCTCAAGGTACATGACCTTCTTGGTGTGCTCGACAATGGCCGAGGGGTCGGAGGAGAGGAAGAACTCAGTGGGCATGGGCATGCCATCATCGGTCATGAAGGCACGAGACTGAGATCGGTGGAGGAGGGACTTGTCGGCGGCACCGAGAAGGCCAGAGTCAGGGGCGAGAAGATCGTTCTTCTTGATGGCGACATTCTGGGCGGCAGCCTCGGCAGGGAGGGCAGCGTTCTCGTCAGAGTACTCAACATCAACGAAGTCGACCTTCATGCGGCGCTCGGTCTTGACACCGATGACAAGAGGGGAACCCTTTCGGGCGGCGATGACCTCATGGGGGTAGTGGACGGACTTGATGAGGAGACCGTAAGCACCCTCGAGCTCCTGGATGACAGCCTTGGCCAGGTCTGTGAAGCCAATGGAAGGGTGCTGGTCGTGGATGTACTTGGTGAGCTTGGCAATGCACTCAGTGTCGGTCTCAGTCTCGAACTTGAAACCCTTGGTCTGGAGGAGAGTCTTAAGCTCCTTGTAGTTGGTGATGATACCGTTGTGGACAATGGAGAACTCCCAGGTGGCGTCAGATCTGCATTCAGGGGTATGTGGTTAGCATCGGTATTCAAGGTTACTCCTAATTCAGAACCGATCTTCACGTCTTCAGGCAGGGGTCATGGCCGTTGAAGAATCAAGAAATCAAATCAAAAGTTTGGGGGGGCTCGTCGTATCAGAACATACCGATGAGGGTGGCAGTTGGTGGTAGAAGGAGGACCGTGAGTAGCCCATCGGGTGTGGGCAATACCGGCATGTGAATCAAAGATCTTCTCGAAGTCGAGGTCGGCCTCGTCGATGAGCTTTCGGAGCTTGGCGACCTTGCCAACCTCCTTGAAGGCAAGAACCTCCTTCTTCTTGTCACCGTCGATGGCTAGACCAGCAGAGTCATATCCACGGTACTCGAGACGGGACAAACCTGTGGGGAAAAAGCAATGTCAGCAACACGAAGCTGGGCGCTGATCCCGCGTCTCACCAGTGGATGGCGGGGCGGGGCATGTCTGATGAAAGGATGGTGAGGGGCAGCCCAGTCTAGCTGAGGGGAACGACAGCTTGACTTGGACATGGGAGAACTAACCGTTGACAAGAGTGTCGAGGATGAACTTGCGGTCCTTCTCCACCAGGTAGTTGATGTATCCGAAAATACCACTGTTGAGGTATGTAATTAGCGATTGCTGTCTTTACCAATTGCGCCACCTAATCCATTGACTGCCAACTTTTGTTCTTGTTGCCTTTGACCATGAGCTCGAGACCCTCATCCTAGCACGCGATGGTCGCAAGCTAGAATCAGTGGAAGCTTGGTGGCTGGCAACAAAGGAAGACAAGAATGGCGGTAACGAAGGCGGTGACGAGGAGAGCTTCCTTACCACATATTGACTGAGCTCTTTGCGGTAGGAAAAAAACGTGCGAAGAATAAATGGGTTCGTTAGGAGGCGGTCGGTGAGAGCAAAGCTAAGAGCGAGCGGATGAGTGGGGGAGGAGGGACGGGACAGGCGGAGGGTTAGAGTTTAGGGGTATCAAGAAGCAATAAGGTGTAGATGAGAGAGGAGAAAGAGGAGAGAAGAGCAGAACAAGAAAGTTGGTGGAGGGAGGAGAAGGAGGTTGTATATGTAGTTGTTGAGCTGCACCAGATAAAAGTACAAGGCACTCACCTCGTTCATGGATGGAAGGCAAAGGCGGGCAGAGCGGTATCCGTACAGGATGGCCCCAGCTTCCAGTGTTGTGGAGTACTTTGGCCCGCAGTCACTCACTGTAAGCTACCTAGCAGCCAGCCTAACCTCCACTAACGTTTAGGTAGTCTTAGGCGCCATGCTTTCTCATCATTGTCTTTCTCCCACTAGGATTCCAACTATAGCTCATGGTTGTTCGTCCATGTCAGAGGCCATCAGATCCATGCTTGTACTCCCACCTTGAAGTGGGGTTAAGATGATGAAAGAGGGGGGGTGGTTGACAGGGTTGTTCCACTAAACCCCTCCCTCATGGGTGAGAGTTAGACAGGCTGTCGTTTGGCTTAGGTACTACTTACATACGGGCGATATTCAGTAGTGACAGATATAGGTTAAGAATTAGAGAGACGGGAAAGTGGGCAAAGTAGCGGTAACAAAGGCTACTCTACAAAACATTGAATGCATAGATACAGATATCTGGTTTCATAGTGACAATAAGCCTTGTCTTGTGGGATTCACATTTTAGTCAGAGCGTCACCAAGTTTGAGATGGCTCAGGGATATGCCACCATCAGACGTTTCGAGTTGACTACCTACATTACCTATTTACAGCCTGGCATCTTACGGCTGAATCAACAAGTAGCCATTGGTCCTGTTGCACAGCATCTGTTATCGTAAATGTGGCCGTAGCTCGCGGCTGCTGAGACGTTGGGCTAAATGGAACATGGAAGAAAGAAACCATCTGATTTTGCCTTGTCTTGTCAGCCATCTCTCATGGTTGCATAAGGGTCCAGGACGGCGCCAAGACCTTCACCGGCCTCTAGATTCCCTGATGCTGAGCTAGATTAGATCTCATAGTCTATACCAAGTGCTAAGAATACGACATAAACTGCCATGTGCCTTGATGCTTCTAGCCCGTTCGCGAAGTCAGCACCCAGTCGGCAGTGTTCCCAAGTCCTCATAGAGTGAACCCCTGACAAGAGAACAGAACTGGTCTGTCACGGTTTGAGTTAGATCGTGAAGCTTAGGTCCCGTTTCCTCCAACCTTCGTCATGGCAACGCATCTCGCCGAGCCGCAGGTAAGACTGCACTAACGATGCTGTACTGTACACTGTACCCAAACCCCCTCCATAATGGAAACTTTTTTGAGGAGACAAGTTCCTGATCGGCAGGGCATGAACTTTGTTCATCTCACAGAACCCGTGTATTACCCAACTGCCAAGTCAGCATGGGCAATGCATTACTTACTAAGATATCCTTTCACCGTCTTCTGTGCAACTCGGGCCATCTTCTCTTCCAATGCTACCCTTATAAGCTATCAATAAGGTAAAGTGTCACTTAGCATCCAATCTACATAAACATCGTCATCAAGAGGCGGACAGGCCCCTACCTACCAGTGTCTAGCCCACCTATGCATACGTCTACGCCTCCACCAGCCTCACGGGGTTCCCGGGGCCTTGTCAGAACAATACCAATACCCGGGAATCTGCATCTGTCTCGACAAGTCTCAGCATGTATGCATGTCTTGTCTGCCACTAAGAGGCAGACCCTGTGTAAGCAGGGGCAGCGTTGCTCTTATCTTGAATCGCACATAGCATGAGATCTGCACAGCCATACGAGAAGTTTGTTCGTATTTGAGTCCTTCATTGTATCTCTATGGGTGTTCCTCCTCGGTACTGGATGACCCCTGCGTCCTGTGGAGGTATGTATGCATACATGCAGATATGCATGCATGCCCCTGAAGGCTTTCTGTTGTTGTTTCTTAGTTGGAGGTTGTGCCTCCAGTTGTTGGTTTTAGATCATCACCACTGAAACATGTCATCTATGCAATTGTGAATTTCATAATGATAGGTGACATCGAGATTCTGAACCAATTTTTGTATACCTGTCTGTACCTGTCACAGCTGGGTAACAATCAGCAATGCATTAACAATAGTGACGGTGACATGGTTGCAGCATCAGATGGATCGTCCCCAGGTCGTGGGTCTTTCGTTATGCTTGTCCCTTGTGAGAAATTCAAACCAGCTCAGTCCAGTCCAGTCCATCAGTTCACAGCCTCAATCGCCCCAACCAAAAAAAAAATCGACCCTCCTAAGAATAGTAACTTTTCCTAGCGCCAGTTCCGCTCCGCTCGGCGCTGGTTCCCATCTCAAGCGCAAGCGCGGGTCTTGGTCAATTGTTTCTTGTTCTCAAAGTATTCTAGCCTGTCGTTGTCTCTTTTTGTGTTGTTTTTGCTCAGTCTTTCATTCCGGCTGTCTTCTTCTTGTTTTGTTTCTTCACATTCCCTTTCTGTCTTCGGTTGGCTTGCCGGTTAGCTTACCGTTGGCATCTATCGCCATTGCATCTGCTGCTATTGTTAGTATACCTCGACGTCATTTCCTTCTAAAATGAGAGACCCATGTTTGATGGGACTTGGCGGTTTTCACTCATTCCTCTTATCTCTCTCTACACGTTGTTCTTAGCCAATACAACGAAGAACGAACCATCCAAGTCTCTAACATCAGCCACGTTGTTCTCGAGGTACCCCCGCTCAACTGGTTCCCAGTTCCCACTGTCATCAATCAAAGTATGGTTCTCGTCAGCCCTGCTGGACCCTGGTCTTGTTGCTAGTTACATATGGCTATTATTACTTGTTTTGATTTGGACATTGAGCTTTGGGTCTGTCCAATATCCATAATGTTATCTTCCTTAAGCCTACTGCCATTTTCACAGCGACAGTTTGCAAGAAACATTTAATGAAACACCGCGCTATACAGATATTAGAACTAAAAAAACGCCAAGCTGAACACACACACCACTCAGCCCTAAACTTAAAGATTCCGTGCCGTCGGCACCCTTACCTGGGCTCAAAGCCTCGCCATATATTGGCTGTTTTGCTCCATTGCTTACTAGATCCCCATAGTGGTAAAAAAAATCTCATCTCGTATCTTTCTCGAGTCTGACATGTTTGTTGATTTATTATCCGACCTCCACCAATCGTAGCCCTAAGGAGGATTGACCGCTTACTGGCGTTGATATTTGACACATGAATCTCACGCTTATCACTTCTGCATTGTGTAGGATCAGCTCCTTAACATAAACAGCTTCCATTTCCTTTCCTGGACGCCATATGCATTCCTGCATCTAGGGCTGAGCCAATCTAACACTGCTGGCCCTGACTCTATTGTACAGTATTCTAGATTAACCAGCAACGCTGTACCTATCATCACAATCCACTACTCATGGAGTTCCCATGCGCTTATCTGCCGTGGCTATATCATGTTGCCGTAGCATGATATGCCCAGTCACCGCTTACAACTTCTGGTACTCAAGCTTGCCTTCCAGCTTCTTGGATTCGGCCACCTTGCGGACAGCCTTGTTGAAATCATCCTGGTTGATTGATTCCCTGTAGTCCTTGATGGCAAATAGACCGCTATAGTCGTGTCAGAAACATGTTTGGGTCTGGGCAGGTACGGCAACTTACGCTTCAGTGACAACATTTCGCAAATCAGCACCGTTGAGTCCATCACTCATCTTCACCACGCTCTCAAAGTCCAGGTCACCATCAATCACAACACTTTGCGAGTGAATCTTCAGAATCTCAAGACGTCCAACCTCATTGGGAAGAGGGATCTCGATCTTTCGGTCAAGTCGACCGGCTCGAAGCAGTGCAGGGTCCAACGTGTCGGGTCGGTTGGTGGCCATAATGATCTTGGTCTTGCCCAAGTAGTCAAATCCATCCAGCTGGTTTAGCAACTCCATAAGTGTTCTCTGAATTTCTCGATCCGCACTGGTACCCTCTGAGAAGCGTCGTCCACCGATGGCGTCGATTTCGTCCATAAAGATGATACAGGGCTCGTGCTCCTTGGCATATCCAAACATCTCACGAATGAGTCGTGCCGATTCACCGATGTACTTGTCGACAATGGCGGAAGATACGACTGGTTCGTTGTTAGCATCGTCACATAACTATGTTGAAAACCGTAGGTACCATACCCTTCAAGAAGTTCGTCTCCAGACTACTGGCAACAGCTCGTGCCAGTAAAGTTTTGCCGGTTCCGGGGGGGCCATACAACAGAACACCCTTTGGCGGCTTGATTCCGACTCGTAGGAACAGCTCAGGGTTCTTGAGGGGAAGCTCGATAACCTCCCGCAACTCTCGAATTTGATCGTTCAATCCACCAATTCCAGCAAAGCTCACCTGACCCGGGTCCTCCAGAGACATGTTGTACACCAAAGGATCAACTTCGCGAGGCAACATTCTCATGATGGTAAGTGTCGTCATGTCGAGTGCCACACGGGTGCCTTGCTTCAGCTTGACCTTGTCCACCTTTGATCTGCATCCGACGACGTATCGAGGCCCGGAGGAAGCCTTGACGATGACTGCGAATATCATCGTTAGCATGCATCCATCTTGTGCTAGTCCAGATGGTGGGTGTTCGCCTTACATCGTTCGTCATCGAGCTGTTTCAGCACCTCGCCGATAATTTGTCCCACACTTTGTAGCGCCTTGATATTGTCCTCGGTCTTGTCAAACTCCCTTTGCATGTCCTTGATTTCAAGACGCAAGTTCTTGAGCTTTGCCTCCCATTCTCGCGACTCGATGAGCTTGGCACGGTAGGAGTTAAGGGCTGCCTGGCGCTCTTCTTCGGCTGACATTGTGAGTGAATTGATTTCTATCCTTTGTTTCCGTAGTGAGTTGCTTTCTAAATTGATTCTGATTTTTTGGGTGGTCGTGGTTTGGGTATCGGGAGCTCAAGTTATGTTGTCGGGAAAGTGTTTGGACGGTAATGGTTGCTCATGGCAGATGGAGCTTACCTCACCAGCTGGAGCCTTCAGCTAGCGGCTCGAGCTCTATCGGTAGAATCTCGGCACTCCGTCACTACCATATCTATCACCTACCCTGCATCAATCTCAAATATCTGACCAAGGACTTTGATGCGATTCCGTTGCCTTAATCAGTAATGTCACAGAGGTTTAATTCAGTTCTAAATTTCAAGTTGCTTACACGATTTGCACCTAGTTTTTTTTTTTCTCAACAGAAGTAATCATCAATGCCTCATGCCAACACACGACGCGATGCATGAGCTTTCCATTTGAGTTCTAAGCAACACAACAATTCAAAGTTTCCATGTCAACATTTCAAATGTGTAACCCAGATGCTCTAGCCGCCGTAATCTTCCTAGTGAGACAGTAGGTATATAATAAAATATGCGTTCATGTTCAATAACACCCCATGGTGTATGGGCATCATCTTGAAGCATGATCGTGTGTCAAGTCATGTCATGTTTCCTCTGCATATTTGTCATACCAAACCTGCAATGCTGGCAGGCGGATTCCAAGCCCCAATTTACCATTTGGAACGCACCCTGTCTAACTTGTGTGGTGCTCCATTCCGCGAGCATCACGCGGAGAGCTGGATGAACGAATCCACCTTCAAACGGCGACCGAGGCACAAGTACAACCAGCAGATATAGCCCCATAGGCAAGTGCTGATTTGTCGGAGGGGTTGTGGAAGAAATTGGGCGTCTGTTTGTCATCCGAAATAGCGTGAGTAGCAATTTGTACTGGCCTTCATGAAAGCTGGGGATCTGAAGCCAAAAGAATAGGTTCACTGCAGCGATTTGTTGGTATTAAAGCCGTGGTGTAGGTTTGGTTGGAAACGCCGGGTGCGCTTCTCAGTCCTTCTTCTCGTCCTCATTCTCAGTGGACGTCTTGGGCTCCCCTTCAGAATCGAAGCCAAGCGCATCCAACTCTCGGATCAGTTCGTTGATTTTGATGACCTTGGCAATCTGCTCGGGAAGTAACGCTTCACCATCCTCTTTCTTGTTCTTAAGATCCTTGGCCTGCTTTAGCTTCTTCTTAAGGTTTCGAGCCTTTTTCTGGCGCTCGACTTCAGGGTCAATCTCCTCGGTTTTGGTCTCTTGGGCAGGAGTTGGCACGTCGACCTCTGTAGCCTTCGCCTTCTTCCTAGCCTCGCGGCGCTTAGCATTCTTATTGCTAGCGGCCGAGCTTTGCTCGGAGCTCTCTTCTTTCACACCTGCAGCACCAGGAATGCCGATTTTCTTGCCGCGCTCTCGGAAGGCTTCGGCGGTGCGGTTCTTGTAGACCTCGACATCCTCGGGTGGACGATAGCCAGGACGAATTCTGATAGCTCTGCGAGTACTGCCATCTGCGCGAACAGACTGTGGAATCTCGCGATCGCCGCTGTTTTCGTCGGTGACGATACCCGCATTCGAGGGTTGTGAGGGCATCTTGGTAGGGAACGGATGGGAGAGTGAAAATTAAGAGGAAGAATATTTCACTAAACTCCGACGCTCGAAGTTGGTACCAACAGACCGGGTTCAGAAATCTGCTCGGCAGCTACCGAAGCGGGATGAGAGCTGCAAGTGTAACAGGAAGTAGCAAGTTTTGGAGGGGTTTAGGTTAGAGGGGCTGCAGTGGCTCAATCGGCGCGACGCCACAATCCGAAAATGTGGCTGTAAGGCATCTTGGACTGACAGAACTTGGAGTTATGGGTACTTCTCACAGTACATTGGATAATAAGTACCTACCTGTACCTAGGTACCCGGGCTTATTAAGACCCAAGCGAAAGTCAATGTTTCATTACTCAAAGTGCCCAGCATTGTGATGGGAATTTTATTTTATGTTATGTCTCGTTGAGCAGCCCTGACCTGTTGTGAGACCTGGCTAAACCCCAGTTGGGTACTAAGGTAGCTCAGGTCTTTGGTAAAGGCTGTAAGACTTCATCTCGGTGACTCTTATCGCTATAAACCCGAATAAACCTATGATCTCATGAGTTGTTAGATAAAATGAGTTGCGGGTCAGATTTTAGATGCTGTACTCGATCAGTTATTTGTATTTGGATATAAGACAAGGGCTCCCTGCGAAGAGAGCTTATTCGACTTAAAGTAGAGAGCATGTGAGCTTGTCATTGGTTAACCACTCTTAGCTTCCCATGTCATGCAGGACCTTGTTTCAACTGTCTTCTCAGGCAAACCGACCTTTGTTGTATTGCGAGGTAAGTAACTTAGGAAGCGACACGATTCTGTAGGGCTAAATTGCCAAGGGAGTGATCGAAATAGAGCCTTAGAATGCTCAAGGCGGCGCTGGTCAGAAAACAGATGTTGCGAATGTTACCATAGTGTGATACTGAACACCGTCCAGACCCCTGTGGATAGGACGATGGGCTGCCACAACTTACCATCAGATTGCCGCTATTTCTTACATGGAAGCATATTTCGACTTCATGCCATCCAGTAACATTGTTACAATCAGTCACTGGTTGTCTCATGCATAGATCGTGGCATATTCAGAGCCTACACAATTATGCCTGATCAAGCCACCAAGGCAAACCAATAGTCGGTTCGGCTAAAGCATTGGGTCTTTAGGTGTAGGGCGATTATTGCGAAGAGGTCATAAATAAGGTAGCAGATTGTGTGCTTATAGTCGCATTTTCTGTACAACATATTGTTTTGGGTTCGCCCGTGTAAGGGACTTACACTGGAGTCACGCACACCCCTAACTGCTTGCACAGGCAGGCAACCTGCTGACTTCTGCTGTCGTACAAAAGTGATGCAACATGAATCACTGTCACTACTATTACAGCGAAGCGGCCAGGCTGTGATCACTCTACCACGTGGCTGTCTTTTCCAGGCTTTACAGGTCCTATCAAATACCTACTATTAGCAAATGCCGGCCTGTCTAGGCCAGGGCTGCTTCTTCCTCCCTTTCCCTAAAGACCAGGTAACTTTCAAATTTCACAAACTGCGCCAAGAGAGGCCTCAGAACCAGACCATTCTTGCTGTATTTACTCCAGTATTCCCATAGCTGTCGTGCTTCTTCAAAGCATTCCTCATTATACAACTTTCATTTCTGACACACCTACCATCAGTCTTATACTAAGTACCTGTTACCTTCGTCAAGATGGCTGACCTCGATCCATCAACAGAAGCCAAGACATGGGCGAACATATTAGACACTTCGGATGCACTGACTCCAGATCCAGGTACCGAAGACATGTTTAGAACTGAACAAAACAAATTCGTTTTTAGTCCAGGACAACTTTCCGAACCACTTAACCCCAAGAGCCTCAACGTATTTTATGCCCTTGGGGGGCTCAACGGCATAGAAAAGGGACTACGGACTGATCGCAGTGCAGGTCTTGGCATCGAGGAGTCGACATTAGACGGCGAGGTTAACTTTCACGATGTCGCGCCTAAGGGAACACCAATACATGGCACTGCTGGCGATTCTATACCCGAAAGCAATGCTGAAGCGGCAGTACACATACACCTTCCAGACGACCCGAATCCTGCCGGCCCCTTTTGCGATCGGAAGAAGATATTCAGAGATAACGTACTTCCCGAGAAAAAGTCCAAATCCTTACTCGAGATTGCCTGGACCACCTACAACGACAAAGTTCTCATTCTCTTAACCATTGCTGCTGTGGTGTCGCTAGCCCTTGGCTTGTACCAGGCTTTTGGTGGTGATCATAAACCAGGGGAGCCAAAGGTTGAGTGGGTTGAAGGTGTGGCGATTATTGTCGCCATCGTGTAAGCAATCACTCTGACCGTTAATACTTGGTGAACTAATAATAGTGGCAGCATTGTTGTGCTTGTCGGTACGATCAACGACTGGCATATGCAACGGCAGTTCACCCGCCTTACAAAGAAAACCAACGACCGTATGATCAGCGTGATTCGCTCCGGAAAATCTCAAGAAATTTTAATCAACGATGTGATGGTTGGTGATGTTATGCATCTCACTACTGGAGACATCGTGCCCGTAGATGGTATCTTTATCCAGGGCAGCGCTGTCAAGTGTGACGAGTCCTCAGCTACTGGAGAATCCGATCTTCCGCGAAAGACTCCAGCTGCTGAAGTTTTTGACGCGATGCAAAAGCCAAACACCAAAGATGTCGAGAAGCTGGACCCCTTTATAATCTCGGGAAGCAAAGTCAGCGAGGGCAACGGAACCTTTCTCGTCACTGCTGTAGGTGTCAATTCCAGCTACGGCCGCATTTCAATGGCCCTTCGAACCGAGCAGGAAGATACATCGCTCCAGAGAAAATTAAATGTCCTGGCAGATTGGATTGCAAAGGTCGGTGCTGGTGTTGCTCTACTGCTCTTCATTGTGCTTTTCATCAAGTTCTGTGCCCAGCTCCCGAACAACCGTGGCTCTCCTTCTGAAAAGGGCCAGGATTTTATGAAGATTTTCATTGTCTCCGTCACTGTCGTCGTTGTGGCAGTCCCCGAAGGATTACCCTTGGCAGTAACACTGGCGCTGAGCTTTGCGACGGTCAAGATGATCCGTGATAACAATCTTGTGCGAATCCTCAAAGCCTGCGAAACAATGGGAAATGCCACAACTGTTTGTTCCGACAAGACTGGCACATTGACTCAGAACAAGATGACTGTCGTCGCCACCACTCTTGGCAAAGCCACGAGTTTCGGTGGTACTGATGCGCCCATGGACAAGTCGGTAAGAATTGACCGGGAGGCAATTACCGTGCCCAATGTTTCGGAGACTGAATTTGAGAATGGACTAAGCCAGGAAGTCAAAGACCTCCTCGTTCATTCTAATGTCCTAAACTCGACTACATTTGAAGGTGAACAAGATGGACAAAAGACATTCATCGGGTCCAAGACTGAGGTCGCTTTACTGACCCATTGCCGAGACCGTCTCGGATCGGATCCTGTTGAAGAGGTTCGATCGACTGCCTAGATTGCACAAACCATCCCTTTTGACAGCAAATACAAGTATAGTGCTGTCGTAGTAAAGCTAGCTGATGGAAGATACTGAGTATTTGTGAAGGGTGCTTCGGAGATCCTCCTGAGCAAATGTACCAAAGTCCTCGAGAATACATCTCAGGGGGACCTTGCATCGGCCCCCCTGACAGATATAGAGCGAGACATGTTCAACTTGATCATCAGCTCCTACGCAGCTCAAACCCTTCGAACCATTGGTTCTTCATATCGAGATTTTGAAGCGTGGCCACCTGAAGGGGCTTCTTCCCCAGAGAACCCACAATACGCAGACTTCAATTCTGTACATCAAAACATGACATTGATCAGTATTTACGGTATCAAAGACCCGTTGAGACCGACCGTCATCAGTGTCCTCGAAGACTGCCGTCGAGCCGGCGTGTTTGTGAGAATGGTCACAGGTGACAACATTCAGACGGCCTGTGCTATTGCTTCCGAATGTGGCATCTTTAGGCCTGACGAAGGCGGCATTGCAATGGAGGGCCCAGACTTCCGAAGACTTCCGCCTAGAGAGCGCAAAGAGAAAGTTAGACATCTTCAGGTTCTTGCCCGTTCTAGTCCTGAGGATAAACACATTATGGTCCGTACCCTTAAAGATCTTGGGGAGACGGTCACTGTAACTGGTGATGGAACAAACGATGCTCCTGCTTTGAAGATGGCTGATATCGGATTCTCCATGGGCATTGCGGGGACCGAAGTAGCCAAGGAGGCATCGTCAATTATTCTTCTTGATGATAAGTAATTCAGATGCTCGCAAAGAAATAGGATACGGCTGACAAGTTCCAGTTTTGCTTCTATCGTAAAGGGTTTGATGTGGGGTCGTGCTGTCAATGATTCCGTCAAGAAGTTCCTCCAGGCAGGTTTTCAAGTCGACTGGTTTCTGACAATAACTAACGGACGGATAGTTCCAGCTGACTGTCAATATCACAGCCGTGGTATTAACATTTGTATTAGCTGTCGCAAGCAGCACACAGGAGTCTGTCCTCAATGCCGTTCAGCTTCTTTGGGTCAACCTGATCATGGATACCTTTGCAGCATTTGCACTTGCGACAGACCCCCCTACTCGTGCTGTACTTGACCGAAAGCCGGATCGAAAGTCTGCACCTCTCATCACATTGAGAATGACCAAGATGATCACAGGCCAAGCTATTTGTCAACTTGCCATCACTTTTGTGCTGAACTTTGGTGGCAAGAAACTTCTGGGCTGGTACGATGACTCTGAAAAGGATGCCAAAGAGCTAAAGACACTCGTATTCAACACATTTGTCTGGCTGCAAATATTCAACGAAATCAAGTACGTCTGAAGGCATTGATATCGTGTCAACACTCACTGACTCAGTATTCTAGCAATCGTCGTCTAGATAACAAGCTTAATATCTTCAAGGGTCTTCATCGCAACATATTTTTCATCGTCATCAACCTCATCATGATCTGAGGCCAAGTCTTTATTATATTTGTGGGAAGTGATGCCTTTGAGATTGTTCGCTTGAGCGGAAAGGAATGGGGATTGTCGATCGGCCTAGGAGCAATATCTATTCCCTGGGGTGTAGCCATCAGGCTCTGCCCTGATGAGTGGATTGCTGCTTGTCTCCCAGGTTTCCTCCACACAAGATAGATCTCAACCCCAGAGGCAGATCTTGCTGCTGAAAAGTCACTGGATTCAGACGATGAGTTTGTGCGACCACCACTCCGTGTCATGAGTTCTCTCCGAGGACCGCGTGTACAGCAGCACATCGGATTCAGGGAAAGAATGCATAGGTATAAGGAGAAGACCAAGGAAAAGACGCTGGGGGAGACAAATGCCCAGCCAGATAAGTCAGGGACAGTTGTTGGCCATGTTGCTGAAGGGGGTAACTCCTAGACTGAGTACATCCGTGAAGGAGGGTAAAAGGGTGATAGCATTGAGAGTACATTCGCCGGTCTACTGCAAGATCCTGTGTTGGACCAGTGATAACGTTCACTCAACTGGTTGGACTGATAAATCTTTAGAGTATTGCATAAAGTCGAATGGCTGTTTTTGAAGATCACATGTTCACTACAAGAGCCTTCTTGTAAACACTACTGTGTGGATTCCCAGTGCATTGGGATCGGATTTCTTGTAGAATTTCCGACACAGCTTTATAAAATATGATTGTTGCCATAATTGTTGCCAAAGTCTTAAAGACAACATAATCAGTACAAGAGGACTCATTCAGTAGGTACTAAGGGTATCAGAAAAGCCGACCACCCAAGACACAAGAGACGAAATTAGTAAGTCAGTTTAAGCCATCTAGATCACAGTTTTAGACTATTTATTTTTGTACTCTGTAACTTGTAAGGACAACTTTTCTGTTACCCACTAGCCATTATATGGTGGTCAAAGTGGGACTCGGGATATCTGACCCTGCCAGCCAATCACAGCCAAGGTAAAGATGTCCCCCGGAACTTCGCGAATTTCCTGGCCTGACAATCTCTAGAACCTCCCCATCCTTCAACCGAAGCCTCACAATCGCCCGTCGCAGACGTCCACCACCGACTCCTAGCCGTGTTCTAGACGCCCAATTGCGCTCATCAATCAAAATGGTAAGATGCCTTTAGTTGCTGAGCCCTCCATGTCGACTCCAGAAGCTAATCGCGCACTCACATAGGCCTTCGCCAACACCCTCTACAGGCAAGTCATAGCGGCGACGACGACAATGACCAGATAACAATATACCGGACCTCGGGACTAATGCGAATAAATTATACAGGAGCCTTTTCTCCACTAACTACCTGATGCTCGCGACCGTTTTCTCTGCCGGCTTCGCTTGGGAGATGTAAGGACGCCTCTATTTCGGACAAACGGGGGCAGGGTACTGATTGAATCGCAGCGGCTTCAACAACGTCATGGACAAGGTCTGGGATAACAACAACCGAGGCGTACGTTCGATCCTGCTGATTCAATTTGATGTTACTGGATACTAACCAGGTTCGCAGCGACAATGGAAGGACATTCGACACAAGTTCATTGAGGGTGGCGATGAGGACGAGGAATAAAGCGGTTGACACGGGAATTGATTATCGAGCAACGGATGAGGCGAGGGACTGAATCCATGTCACTAGCCGTGTACAAATTAGAAGAGAATTAGAGGCAGGATTTCACACACAACGTTTCCCCATCTCCTTTGGCTCGAGGTCCAGACAGTTTGATACTTGAGTTAGCACCTACCTACTGCGTTTGCATTACCAAATTACATGTTGACTGTATCGCCAGGCTGGCTCTTTTGCGTTTGAGAGGTTGCTTTTTACCAGATAATCTCGTTTCATTGATTATAGGCAGCTGTAGAGGGCTACCCTTGGCCATATGTTGCTGGTGTAGTGGCCGAGGGGCAACGCCTACCTTAGATGCAGCCTCAGGATGCACTGGACAGTAGCCCAATTTATTCGTCCAAGTATCCCACTCGTCATCAACTTGGGAACCTAATACCTCTGCAATCTGACTTAACAGCCACACTTCACAACTGGTTCTTTGGTTTTCTGCCTTTGATACCATAGAACCTGTAGGCAAATAAGCCATTTCTCTGTATTGCTTCCTGGTTACCAACGTCTTTGTCTGGAACGTCCTGTTCCACCAGGCTTCTCCAATATTTGCGGACCCCCCACCTTACTTAGCATTGCCTATCAACAACCCGCCTGACGACATCGCCGACACCGCAATCAACGTTTTTGCTTTTCTTTTTTCCTTCTCTGCTTTTGAACCTTCTCCTTATTCCTATCTGACACAGAAAATACTACGATGAGGTTGAATTGACAATGTCCCATTCCATGTCGACGCAGGAGCAGCAGCTCTGTCAGTTCTTGGCAGAGCTGCCCGCACGCTTTAACTACCGTTTTACTGAAGAAGCTTCCCGCGAGCTACTAACCAGCCTATTCTGGTCTCTTGCTGGCGGCAGCCACGAATACATGCGACTTCTCTTCCCGGACGGTAAACCTGGAGAGAGCCTAAAGCTAAGCGACTCTCAAGGCGCTGTCGAAGGCGCCGAGTACACCGAAGCAGCGCGGGGAAAACGATGTGGACATATCTTCAAGCCCGGCGAGGCATCATACATGTGCCGTACATGCGGTACTGACGAAACCTGCTGCCTGTGCGCCCGGTGCTTCGACTCGACCGACCACACCGGACACATGGTTAGAATCCACATATCTGTGGGAAATAGCGGTTGCTGCGATTGTGGAGATGACGAAGCATGGCGGACACCTTTGTTCTGCACGATCCATTCTAATGTCCAAGGAGGTACCGACAAGGGCAAAGGAAAGGAGGCAGCCGGTCTGCCTGAGGATCTTGTGACGAATTTGCAGATGACTATTGGTCGCGTATTCGATTACATCTGCGATGTTATCTCATGTTCTCCAGAGCAGCTCCGGCAAGCCAAAACGCAAGATTCGATTCTCGAAGATGAACAGTCATCACGCCTCCTTTCCAAGTACTATGGCCCCGAAGCAGAACAGTGCAATGAATTCGCACTTGTTCTATGGAACGATGAGAAGCACACTGTTCAGGAAGTTCAAGACCAAGTTGCTCGTGCTTGTAGGAAAAGCCGAAAGCTGGCGGCAGAGAATGCTTGGGAGACAGATGCGATCGGACGGAGTATACTTACCTACTTGTCGGACGTTCCCCGACTCTTGGAAATGGCTACGATCATGGAGGCTATCCGGGTTACGGTCACCATTCGGTCTGCAAGAGATACATTCCGTGAACAAATGTGCGGCACACTCGTCGAATGGCTGAGCGATATTTCGGGTTGCTCAGTTGGTCATGACAACGGTATCCTCCGACGAACTGTCTGCGAGCAAGTTATGAATCCTTGGCGTAAGGGCAGCCAGGCAACTCATACGCTAGGCTTGATAGACGATGAAGAGGAGGATGATCAGATCGTTGATAGTAGACGCCGCTTCGATGGTATGAATGCTAGATTCATCTTAGCATTGCAAGCTGCCGCGGGGGCCGGCGCTGGTGTTCAAATAGATATCGACGACGAGGACGACGAGGACGAAGACGACGTTGATGCAGATATGGACGACCAGGCCCAGCATTCTCCTTCGAGTTCCGTGGCTGGAGGCGACGAAGATGAGGATGATGATGATGTTATGATGGTCGATGCCCGAGGAGACGTGGGAGACCTTGGTATGAATTGGCGAGACAACGATCAGGCCTTGGAAGAAGACGAAGCGACAATGGCAGGATATCCGCCTCCACCTCCGCCACCTGCTGCTCAGGCTCAGCCCCAGGGTCAGACCCAGCCGGAAGCCTCAGCTAGAACTGGAGACAGAGAGGCAACGCCGTCCGACTCTGACACAGCGGAACCCTTGATCGCGCCGTTGATCTACGCCAAGGCGAATGCCGAAATTCCCAAGACGCCCGGTAGAACTGAGAAGCTGGTCCCCAGACCTGGAAATTATTGGATCGAGACACCCGTCATCTATGCGCAGCGCGAAAACGTACCCCCAGCCGAGGATGTCTTCCGTCGCGTTCGTCTCGATTGGCTTCTTCTATTCGACCTTCGGATGTGGAAGAAGGTCAGGAACGACCTTCGAGCCCTGTATATTTCTACAGTCGTTACGATACCCGAGTTCAAGCGAGTGTTGGCTCTACGGTTCGCCAGCCTTTACACCATTCTGGCCCAGCTCTACCTAGTTGGAGACAGAGAACCAGATCACTCCATCATCAACCTTTCTCTCCAGATGCTCACCACTCCATCCATCACCGCTGAAGTTGTTGAGCGCGGAAATTTCATGACCAGCTTGCTGGCGATCCTCTATACTTTCTTGACAACCCGTCAGGTTGGCCACCCCTGGGAGGTTTCCCCTGATGCGGTGCTTGGATTTGAGAGCGGATCAGTCACCAACAGGCGTATGTATCACTTCTACCAAGATCTTAAGTACCTCTTTGGTGCTCCTCATGTCCAGGAGCGTGTGAGATGTGAACCTCGCTATCTCATGCAGTTCCTTGATCTTGTCAAACTCCATCAGTGCATAGGGCCTAACGTGAGAGCTGTGGTTGAGCACGTAGAATATGAGGCTGACTCCTGGATCACGGCTTCCCTCGTGACCAGGCAGATCAATCTGCAAGCTCGAAACCTTGCCGAGGCGTTCCGTAACTGCCCACCTGATGAGTTCCATTACCTGCAGGATGCAATCCGCTTCACAGCGAAGACCGTTATTCTGAACTCCATTGGTGCTGAACGCCATCGATTCAAGCAAGGAGAAATCAAGGATGAGTTGCAGTTCAAGACATTGAGCGATTTTGAATTCGAGGGTGAAGACGCATCTTTTGATGTTGTCAAATTTGTTGTTGAAAAGGATGCAATCAGTTTCCATCATGCCCTGCACTATACTCTCTCTTGGCTCATCGAGTGCGGAAGATCATTGCCTGTGTCTACTGTACGAAACCTGCTGAGCTTTACTCAACAAGAGCTCAAGTCAAAGCCGAAGCTTATGGGCCGACCTCAAGTCCCGCGCAAGAATTACACTGCAGAGGATTATCTCATTGCATCGTTCGATTTTCCTTTGCGCGTCTGCGCTTGGCTTGCTCAAATCAAAGCCAACATGTGGGTTCGTAACGGAATAAGTTTGCGACACCAAGCCAGCACATACCGGGGTGTTGGTCAGCGAGATGTGTCTCACCACCGAGATATTTTCCTTCTCCAGACCGCTTTGGTGGTGTGCAACCCTAGCCGAGTGTTGGCTTCGATCGTCGACCGCTTTGGAATGGAGAGCTGGGTCAAAGGCCTGTTCGAACTCAAGTCAGAGGCACAGGATGATGCACAGCATCTTGATGTTGTCGAGGACATGATCCATCTCCTCATTGTTTTGCTCAGCGACCGTACGTCTCTAATCTCATCGGAGGATGAGGTCCAGTCCAGACTATTGGCTATGCGCCGTGACATTATTCATGTGCTGTGTTTCAAGCCTCTCTCATTTAACGAGATCTGTAATAAGCTTCCAGAGAAGTATCAGGAGCAAGAGGACTTCCACCGAGTCCTGGATGAAATGGCTACTTTCAAGCCACCTGAAGGTGTTTCTGACGTCGGTACTTTCGAACTGCGGCCCGAGTTCATCGAGGAGATTGACCCTTACATCGCACACTACAACAAGAATCAACGAGAGGAGTCTGAGCTGGCTTATCGAAAGAAGATGGCAAAGCGAACAGGAAAGACTGTTGATGAAATCGTATACGAGCCCAAAGCCCGACCAGTCCCTTCGGGTATGTTTGAAGAACTGGGAGCTTTCACCAGCACAGGCATGTTTGCTCAAGTCATCTATTACTCGCTTCTCTACCCCTTGATGGCTGGCAAGTTTACCCCATCGATTCCTTTCACTCGACTGGAGACATTCCTTCAAGTCGTTTTACACCTGATGCTCATTGCGATCCTCGAGGACAAGTCGAATGACGATGATATGAATGAAGAATCAACCAAGTCATTCACATACATTGCTCTTACAAAACCTGGACGTAGCAACTTCTTGCCTGTCCCTGAGAAAGAGACAAGGACCATTGTCTCTTTACTCAATATGATGTCGACCAAAGACGAGTTCAAGGCAGTCCATCCTAAGGTTGCGCTGGTTCTCAAGCGATTACGCCAGAAGCGCCCTCGTACATTTGAGTCTGCATTTGTGACCTTGGGGGCTTCCGTCGATCGCATCAACACCGCTTCGCCTGCCAACACATCTGTTGAAGAGGAGCGTGAGAGGAGAAAGAAGGCAGCTCTGAGCCGCCAGGCCAAGGTCATGGCACATTTCCAACAACAACAGAAGAGCTTCCTGGAGAACCAAGCTTCAATCGACTGGGGCAGTGATATAGATGAAGATACAGATGAAGAAGGGAATGAAGAGCAGACCGAGGATCGGAAACATAACTGGAAATATCCCGTGGGTACATGTATCCTGTGCCAGGAAGAGCCAGACGATCGTCATCTCTACGGAACATTTGCTCACTTCAACGAAAGTCGCATTCTACGACAAACTGATTTCCAAGACCCTGACTTTGTTCGCGAAGC